CTCTTCCTGAGCTCTTCGAAAAAAGCTATAAAAGCAACTGACAAAGGATCCAACATTTTGGTTCTGAAACTGGCATGGCACAACAACAAACCGCTTCTGACCTGCAGGAGATGATTGCCATTTTAAGTAGTAGGGAGGATAGCAGTGCTCCCACAATATTGATCACCGATCAAGTCACCCAAGTGATAACGTGATCTTGACAGTCCAGAAACAGTGATTCCAGACTCACAGGGCTCCAGCCGCCAAGAAACCAAAAGTATATCAGACAGAGGGCACCAAAACCATCCAGAATCGACTTATCCATTGTCAGGCCCAGCATTAACACTGAATGTTTCAAAGATAGCTTTTTTAATAGATTAATTTTAAATATAATCTAGCTGTGTAAGTACCCCATATGTATTTTTAATCAATTTAATCTTTTTTATTCGTCTTAATCATTGTAATTTTTTTTCTATCAATATATATTTTTACTGTAACATCAGATATGTAATTTTATCGGATGCTTTTTAATAAAGACGTTATTATTATTAAAGACGTTATTATTATTATTACAGTGGAAACCAGACAAGCCAAATGCAAAAGGTCATTACAAGTCCTGAAGGAAAACGCAAAGAACTCTATGTGCCCTTACAGTTTAGAATACAAGCTGAGACCATATATACATGTTGTACAGTTTGACAGAGAATTTCAGACCACCTTGGACCAGATCAGTCGCCTAGCCCAAGCGGAACTATTAATGCTGATGATAAAACAGCAGAAAAAAGAACAGTACTTACATGTACATGTAGCGGTTAACAATGACGCTGTCCAGGCCCAACAGCAGTTACTACAAGACCTGCATCCAGACCAGCAGAGTTCCCAGGCAACCAGAAACCTTGCTGCCAACAGAGCCAGACCCAGGCCCAGGCCCAGGATGTAGAAAACTACACCTAAGAAGTTCCACGAACTTGTAATCTCGCTTCTATGCAAGCTCAACTATCTGAGCTACAGAAAATGTTTTGTAAAATCAGTGAAGCAGTCAACGTAAATAAACAAGTTCACCAGTATACTGGTGTGTCTTTTCTTGACTCAAAGGGTTTCATAAAAAGTCGATAAATAAAAAAAGGGCCAGATAAATAAGAAATGCTCTCTAGATGCAACAACCTAAAAACTTCTTTAACTTACAACACTAGAACTCAAAATGAGAAATATATCGAAAAATTTCTATAATTAACTTCTCTCTTATAATGAGGTTAAACTTCTAGAGGTCTTCAATTTATACCAACTCCTTCTGTTCCTGGCTTCAATAAATCCTTATTAAAGGATTTCATTAATTTTGCTAGAACAATGCATTTAAGACATGATATTCACAGAAAAAAGGAAAAGCTTGGAACATCCCTTCCATGTTAAATCCACATGGCAACCATCAATTCAAAACTCGGTTGCCTCAGAACATTACATGTACATGTACCTGGAACAAACAAAGCTCGCCAGAACTTGCTTCAATAGTTTTCCACGCCCCTTTAGATACATTCTAATATCCCAGTGAATGAGAGAAAAGCTATTGGCTCACTTAAACGTAATTTAGCGAAATCAATCTTAAAAAAGCTGATAAAGGAACAACTACAGTCATTATGAACACCGTACAAAAAATAGAAGAAGGCTCACAACAATTATCTGATGATAAATTCTACAAGCCTGTTACAAATCCTATTATGCTAAACACTGCTCAAAAAGTGAATCGAATAGTTAACAAACTATTCCTTTTGGGCAATATTGACACAATGACTCAAATGGTTAACAATCGGCCTTAACCAACCACGCATACCAGAAATTTACACGCTGACAAAAATCCATAAGAAATTAATACCAGTCAGCTGCAGACCAATTGTTTCTTGTAGTAGCAGCCCTACTGCACATATCTTCAGTTTCGTTGCCTCACTATTACAACCTATCGTACAAAAACAGGAGTCATACACCTCTATTTAAAAGACACTACCCATTTCATCAACTTTATTGAAAACACGCAAATCTCTAACGATGTGGTTTTAGCCACTCTAGATGTGAGTTACCTCTACACAAACATCCCTCAAACAGAGGGTATTGACATTATTTGCCATCATTATGAAAAGTACTATGAGCATAATTTGCTAATTTCCACAAACAGTTGTAAACGGGAACTTTTACGGCTCATACTTGGTTTGGAAGAGATTTGTTGATGATATCTTTTCACTGTGGGACAGTTCAACCAAAGAAGTTTACAATTTTTGTTGACTTTGTTAACACATGCCACCCTACAAATATCAAGTTTACTTGTGAAATATCATCCAAACGCACTGTTTTTCTTGATACTGAGGTTTTAAAGGGACCTTGCCGTTCAACTCTGAAATACTTGACTCAAGCCTACTGAAACTTTTCAATACACACGCTTCTCATTTTGCCACCGTTCAAGCTGCAAAAAGGGTAAAGGAGGAACACTACGTCTTTTAAGAACTAACTCAGTCAGAGAGAACTTTGATTAAAGCAAATGAGACTTTGAACACAGGCTTTGTCAAAGAGGCTACCCGGTTATGCTCGTTAAAGAAATACTAACTGTTGTTAAGTTCACCAACAAAAAAGAGGCTCTTCGCAACAAAACAAACAAAAGAGATTTTACCGTTTGTTACACGACAAAAAAGGAAACTGGAATCATACACAGGTTAGCATATTTAAAATTAGTGCTCAGCTCATTATTCATCGATTCAAGAATTTCACTGATGTTAAAAATTTTCAAGTGGGCATCTTCTCACCTTCTTAATGGAGTGTTTAGTCAGTTAATCAACCATTCAATCAGTTAGTCGGTCAGTTAATCAATCAAACACTCACTACACACTCAATAAACCATATATTTTTGACAATTACTTTATGATAACAGTGAAACAAATGAAAATACAATCAGTCACTCCAAAACAACTCCACAAACATAATTTATATCAAAACCTACAACAAAGAAAGAAAGCAACCTCGATTCTATAATTCCTAAATGAAATGATCAAACATGGAAACAATGGAAGCTCAAAAATGAAATTACAGTGGAACCCCGCTATAACGAACCTCGCTATAACGAAGACCCCGTTATAAAGAACAACATTTGAAAGCCCGGCAGATTTACAGTAAAATATGTTGAAACGAACCCCGTTATAACGAACCCCGCTATAACAAAATCGCCGCTATAACGAAAGATTTTGACGGTCCCAACGCACAATTTACCTCGCTATAACGAATATTTTGTCCTGTTGCTCGCTCGCAGTCAGTAACAACGACAGATTTGAGCGTAGAGTAGAATTCACAGCTTGCTTTATTCCGGTTTTCTCAACACGCGACAGAAGATAAAACGCTGTACAGATCAACAGTCAACAAATCCTTTGACAGCAACCTATCAGTCAACGGCTTATTATGTCATAGACATTGGCGTTATACAGTATTTCGACATCAATTAACTTCTGCTCTCTTCTTTGTCTCTTATTAATTCTATTAACTTCTTCACTTTCGAAGGCTTCTTGTGATAAAACAAATAAGTAGCCGGAATTTCTAGTCCAATGCCCTTGTTTCTCCGTTTACCAGTCACTTCCACTGAGATTTGTCCTCCGTGTTTTAAGAACAAGTGAAATACACGTGACAGTGTCAATGGCACATGACCTACGATCTGCTGCATGCCTCCTTGATCTTGAACCCGTTTAACGGCAACAGCATGGGTGTCGTGTGGGTTATCAGGCTCGTGCTGCGTAAAAAAACACGCGTGTTGCGGAGATCAATTCATTCATCAATACTGTAACGCCAAATTTTCAAAGAACTAAGGGGTTTGTTTTTATCGCCAACGTTCTGTTCTCTACATTTGACATTGTTAAACACGTCTTACCTCGCAATCCAGAACTTCACCAACAACTGAATCCCATATATCCTTATACACATGGTAGCCTCGAATACAAGATCGAAAGGAATAAGTTGTTGCTTCCATTGATGTATTTTTTTAAGTAAAACGATGAACGTTTTTTGGGTAGAGACAAATCGAGATGATTACTACAGGAAACGACATCGATGATTTCCCTCGGATGTTACTGTTACTTCTGAATTTTAAAGTTTTAAATTGAAAATGTTCTTGAATTTTATGTCTCGATTGACAACCGTTGTACTTATAGTTTACAATATAAAATGAATAAAAGTAATGATTTCTACGTGTAGTATTGAATTTTTGGTAATTTTAAATTACCCCGCTATAACGAATATTTCTGTTGTTGACCGGATAATTCGTTATAACGGGGTCTTCGCTATAACGAAGACCCCGGTATAACGAACATTTTTTTCGGTACCGTGACACTTCGTTATAGCGGGGTTTCACTGTAATACCAAAAAATCTAATATCATCATATTTAGCAGTAATGGATAAAACAAAAACAAAACAAATTCCAAATATGCAAATGAAATTATAGAAATTGTTGACAAATAAACATACCTAGGAACAGAAATGATATCATCCGGTTGTTACGCTTATGCGAGGGAAATTCTTAGTAAAAAGGCTACCAAAACTGTCTTCACAATTAATCGATTACTCTTGAACATTGATTATTTGACAGCGCTTGAGACAAGGAATAAACTTTTCGATGCCCTTGTTAAACCTGTACTACTGGTACATAGCTTGTGAACACTGATTGGAAATAGCTGTTTAAAATGGTTGCCTTACTGGCCGCATTGGTTACCTTGATGTTTAAGAGGTAGTACCCCTAGCTGTCAGATTTGGAGTGTTTAAACAAGCCCCAGAGTCATTTTTTTAATTCCCATCAAGTCGCCATTCATAGGGATAATAATCATTCTTGTTCACATACTGTCAGTATGCATCTTATAGCAAGGATCCTTTTGCCTGTAGCCTATCCTGTTTCTTCATGAGGCATTTCAATGAGGGGGACACACTATGGCAGTCCATTTCTAGAGCTTGTTAACCTATGTGGTTTGAATCTCTTGATACCATAGGTCAATTCCTCTCGAAAACTAGACCACAAATCATTTATTGACAGATCACAGTCAGAAGAATGCACGATAGAGTCTAAACATTTAGACATGTGTTCTTTAAGGCCATCCCAGTCTGCTTTTCTATATAAGGGAACGATCCTACGAATTTGTGTGTTGATTGTTACTTTGATATTACCCTCAACAAACACAGCATCATGATCACTAAAACCTGGGATGACTTGAGCCTTGATGATAAGACTGTCATTGTTAGGTATAAACAGGTCTAAGACATTTTTACCCCGTGTAGGATTAGTTATAAGTTGGACTAAGCCATGATCATGTGCTTCCAGTCAAATCCAGGGAGGTTCATGTCTCCTGCTATCTAGATAATTATGTGATGAGGTATTGCGACCAATCTGTTGGAGTGATCTCTCAAAGTTTTCTAAGCTTATGGCGTCTCCCTCATCCCGGTTATAAAAGGCACAAACATACAAGGTCTTCAACCCACTATGTTGATCTAAACCCAGAGGATTTCACACTCGGTTTCTACAGTAAATTCTCGGCAACCTATCAGGCCCCTTGAAGCAGCAATAAATACACCACCACCTGTGAGGTGAACTCTATCCCAAACATTCCATAACAGACATTATTCACATTCTACATACATTCCACTACTGACACTATAAACTTTCTCCACGAGGAATCAAAATCCGAAATAGAGTTTTAGCTTAAGGGGAACTGCTTATCTTAGTTATTTATCAACAGAGCAATGACCTGCACTTGTGACCTGTGACCTGTGGCGTGCGTTCTGTACCTGCCAAGATTTTCATGTTTCACTTTAATTTGACCGTACCAGATCTCCTGTAGTTACTTGATGATCTAAGCGATGAGCTTAATCCTTTGATTACCATTATCAATATAACTTGCTCGTAAGACCATTACTTCTAGCATAACGGCCTTAAATTTGAGCTTAAGATAAGCCATTAAATTCACATACCTCACACGACCAGTGCCAGATTTCTCACGACTTCTGCCATGCCACGTGCGAGAATTCTTAGGCCAAAAATAACTCCAAGTGTTGAAGAGTAAGTAAAAGAACTGCTGAAGCTCAAATCCATTTTCCAGAAGTGTTATTAAGTTACTTTAGATCCAATTTTCCTTACATGTGTTATGTGTGATCAAATCCGCCGCCATATTGGTTTCTTTTAGAACCCAGTCTCTCAATTGGCGCGTGTGTCTCGCGCGCGAGCTTTCGTAGTGTGGTACTCGTTTCGCGTTTCTCGAGTACTGGTAAAACGCGCTCAATAGGGTCAGGAAAATAGACATTTATGCCTATTGCGTGTTCGTGAACTCTCCCGATTTATGAATGAGATAAATGGTAAATGTTACTTTTAACAGTGACGAGTTTTATTTCAACTGAGTAATGAAATCAGCACATGAGGAATGTGAGTGAACCCATATTCTTGGCGGCTTGTTAGCTAAAGAATTATAAGATTATTGATACAAGCACCAAACTTTGTAGCAATATTGCAATTCCCAGACTGATCATTTCCCGATATAGTGCCAAGTTAAACTTTCTTATTCCAGCTGTCTTATTCCAGCTGGTTAGCAGAAAATGACATTTTCAGATCCGCCGAGAGCCCCCGCAAAGTACGTACTTTTTCTTGCTCGGTTTAGATTTAATGCACTTTTATTTCAAAATAAAGTTACAACAATACAGATGGGTAAATTTGGACTGAATTGTTATTTTCTTCTCCTCTGTATATAAATGGAGGCCTTAGTTTGCAATTCACTTACACCTCCTTGTTTCTCTTCTTTCTCTTGGTTCGGATGGTAAGAGTTCAGGGTCTTATCTCTTGATTTTGAATGTGTATGTGACTCGGTGCACTTGCTTAGAAAAGAAACTACTCTAGTCATATAAAAGAGAAAACTGTCGGTTTTAAAAGAGGGAGTAAGAAATGGGTGAGGACGCCGGAAGCAGGTCGTTCAGGCCACAAGCTATTGACTAGGTAAAATGTCTCGCTCAGTTTTCCCACTATCTTGGAGTCCGGAGGAGACTTATTTAGACTTGAAGGAATTTTGAGTGTCATATTGGACCGAAAAAAAAAGAAAACACAACATCCTACTCGCACTCTTTGCAAAGGCCAGGAGCCCATAACCCGGAGAGATCAACTTCCATAGGCTCGAGTCACGGCGTTTTTACGGACCAGTATATTTTAAGAACGGTTTTGGCGCGAATTTTGAATATCTTTAAAATTCCACAAACTAGTCAGCAAAACCTGCAGACGTAAAATGATATTTTTTGCCTTTTAATAGAGTTTAAGTTTCCTTTTTGATATCTTATACTTCGCATACGCTCAATGACATGGTGGAGATTCTATTTTCGTGGGTAAAAGTGCCCTAAAATGTGTCTAAAAATAAACTGGTCCATAAAAACACCATGACATAGGCCCAGTATGGGAGTTACTCACTGCAGGTTATGGGCTCCTGCAAAAACCCTTTAATTGGTCTTTCTAAATCGAAGTGTCTCCCTTTCTTCCGTAGCCTCCCACGCAGGCGTTCTAATGGGACAGGAACGCGCGTGACGAGTCCCTAAGAACTACGTCTGCGTCTGAGGCTATGCCTCCCGTGCCCTAACAGTGTGCCAAAATACCAAACATATAGGAAAGGAAAAATTGCTATTATCAAAATCGTGAAATAAAAAATGAGGGCCACTATACTTGCTTTAGCGTTAAAACTGCAGAAAGTCCGCACCACCTGTATTCCTTGCGATTTTTAAGTGAGTGAGGATCGGGAGGACTGTCAAAACGGTATTTTTATGGAAGTTGGAAAAAGCATTGAAAAATACGATTTTATGGAATTTACATCGAGATAAAGCAATTAGGAGTAAGACATAATGTGAAAGAGATGAAGACAACACGACAACAACAAAATTTAAAACAACAACGAGTTATATTTGCATGATCATATGAGTACATACAGTATTGCAAAAGTTATTTTAAGAATCAAAATTACTTTAGGGCAATTACGTTGCTTTGGTAATAACTTGTCACGAACATCAAAGAAAGCTGAAATATATTTATGAATTGTATATTGATAAAGTAACTGAGAGGAGTTCATCAGCTCAGTGATCAAAGCGTTCACAGGTAGCTAGGTAATATTTGGAATCAGAGTCCTTATTTTATTGTAAAAATTATTCCTAATCATAGAGTATGTAGGAATGCGAAAAAGAAAGTGAACACAGTTCGTCTTCTATCAGATTGGATCCACAAAAAAGGCAATGCCTATTATCCTTCGTGGTGCTTCATAGTTTGATTCTATCTACCTATTTCTATTGATTATCGGCGTAGTTCTACTAAAGCCCTTCTTCCAGCTGTTCCTCTTGTCAAGTCTAAGTAATTAGAGGTGGTATGATCGGTTTTAAAAGATCTATAAATTCATGTTTTTGAGAATGTTCAAGGGTTAAACTCAAAAAACGATCATAAAAACGGGACAGTCCCTTCCATCTACCAGATACCAATGATACTGGTGAAATAAAAAGAATCTTTGGAGCATTATCAAATTTACTGAAGTAGCAACATTTTGTTTTTATTTCAAACAAGGTCCTTTTTAAGAATTATTTTGAAGGGAACAGAAAAAAAAGGGAATTCCTTTATCTCCGGATTATATAGTAGCAGCAGAGACAATTTCGAGTCTGAGCTTTCGATGTCGCTATCTTTTACAAATACAGTAAAAACCCGCATATAAGAACCTGGTGATTTAAGAATCTACAGGCTGAAATTTGGCATTTAAATACCCAAAAATATATAAGAAACTGTTCAGCTTGGCAAACAAAAATAGGTTCTTACCCAAAACAAATCAATCCAATTTTGATGGTCAAAATTCCGGATGTTAATTGTGTTGGAAACTTCTGACAAAAAGTAACCGTTTGTATGTTTTCTTTGATTTACATTTGTTTGGATTTTCACGAGAAATAGACTATGTTTTCCATAAACTATTATGTATTAGTGATACAATATTTCTGCCAATGGTTACACTACGACAACCTCTGAAAAATATGAACCAATTAAGAACCTATAATCAGCCTGAATTGTGAAAAACTACCCTAACTTAAAGAACCTGTTCAGCCTGACCTCAAAAATTCTAGGTTCTTATATGTGGGTTTTTACTGTAGTTTTGACAGATAGTAACTTGTCCCATTCTAACAAATTTTATTGTTAAGGGTCTTGTAGAAATTCCCAGCGTCAAACTGGCCAATAACTCCCTTGATTTTAGTGGGAGCCAGCGAAATTAGTAATGCCTCTTCCGTGGTGATTCTGGTTCACAACCCCTTCGCGCATCTCTTGTGGAAAAGAAAATCCATCTTGGCCAGGCTGTAGGAAAAAAGTTTTCAGTTTGAGCTTATGACGATTCTTCTGTTAATTGGCATAGCAACGTCCACTGACATCGATCACAAACTGACAGTTTAAACTGAATATGCATTGTTATTTCTATCCTTTGATCCTCCTTCATTGGCCTCGTTTTAGCAAAATAGGCCAATTTCTAGCATTGACGATGGAGGTGGCAGAGAACTTCTGAGAGAGTAATGGGTTTATTAAGCCAAGCAAGAAGTTTATACGTGCCGATATTGCAATTGTACAAATTGCAGTTCTTTTGTAACTTCACTGCAAAACTAATACGTTCAAGTTATAGATTTCCTATTATGGCTTAATGGGGGACGTAAACACACGATGACACCCTAGGATTTTCCTTGCTTTCTTAACTTGGTCGCTCTTTCCAAACAAGAATTTGACCCACATCTGACATTAATTCTGAGGACGTTTTTAAGTAGGTTTTGAGTAAAATAAATAGATAAAATAAATTAACTAAACACCATACACTGAAATGATAAACAGGTTGACTAGTTTCCTGCTGTATTTGTCGGAAGAATTGTATGACCTTAGTGTCCTAACACTGCATTCAGATATTTAAGGGGGCAGTTTTGTTAAAAGCATTTTTTTTTTTCGTTGATGTCCACCCTAGATCTTGAATATCTAGCCACGATTTCATTTAATCAAAAAATGGCTCCATTTAGTTGCAGTCCTTAATTCAATAGTTTTTTGAGATTTTCTGGATGATTTTTCGAATGTTTTTAATGTATGAAAATTAGGGAGATGTTCAAAATGTTGGAAAAATTGGAAAATATTGGATTTGAGGGTTGTTAGAATTTAAAATATGAAGTGAATAATTAGTAAACAAATACGGCAAGATAGTCCACCACCTCAGCCGGGTGCCTCTGATTCCATTAGCGGACTAACTGGTTTATGTGTATACCTTTTCTACCTTAACTTACTTCCTTTCCAAATCAACATCATTCCCCCAAACAAACGCCCGTAATGCCCCCTTAAGCACATGAACATGTTATAGGGTTAGCGCTGTAGTTACGCCGTATACTAACCTGGGAATACATGTAATACATCGGAAAGGATTGTGGGCTTTGGTAACTTGTGTCGCTGATTTTTGCTATGGCAGCGGCGACAATCATTTCTAAGATGGACAATATTACAATAATGCCGAATACAGCCAAAGCTTCTTCTTCCTTTTCAGTGTACTTAGTCAACGAGGTGTCTTCGTCCAAAAAGCCGGCATCAGTCTGCGAGGGGAATGACCTACTTCGCACTAACGTTGCTAATCCAAAGTGATAATATGTGAAAACTACCAGTGCAGAGAAGACAATACAAGGGACGCTTACTGACCAAATGGCTTTGATCTAAGATAACGAAAAGTGAACAAAAAAATCAATAAAAACAATAATGCATTTAGATAGGCATAATAGAATGTCCCCTAATAAGCTGCCCAGCCATTTTTAAGATTTCACTTCTGCCGCGAAGAAACTAAATACAGGAAGAAAATGCTCAAAGGAGCCAAAATTACACAATTTAATTCGAAAACCCCCCTGACACCTTGAGTCTTATAAACTTAGATTTATCTCGTTTCAGAAGAGCGCCTATATTGAGTTTAATGTAACTAATTTAAAGATTTCGTTTCTGGTTGGCTCCTATCGATACGATAGTATATCGCAACCTCGTTCCATGGCAGCGGTGCGTCACTGTAGCTTTTTTTAGCATGTGTCGAAACAGCTGGGCTGCCGGGCGACAGCTATCAAAAGACGAAATAGAGGAATAAATGACTAAAACTGAACAGGAAAAAATCAAAAGGCAAGATACGTAAAAACTATTGCTTAATGAATGTCACCTACATTTTGAGAAGTAATAACTATTCATATTCTCCAACGGTGCGGAAAATCAGGTAAATGTTTTTAAAGAAGTCTACGAGGACGGATGGTTTGTTAAGAGCTTGGAAATATTTTGAATGAATAATAAAACAATTATTGAATTCGGCTTTCGCCGAATGATATATATGAAGTATTACGCAGATCTCGTAGGCTGTTATCCACCTCGTTCTACATAATTTTCAATATCAGGTTCAGCCTCATTCAATAATTGTTAACTATAACATAGATATGGATAACATAGCAGGAACCCCAAGAAAGGTTTCGCCCCTCCCTTTTCCTCCAGAGGGGGTATGGAATTGCTCGTACGTCCGAGGGTCTGTGTACTCTGTAATGTTATATTTTTTTTCTTTGATACAAAGAGACGAGGAACACTCTTGGTATCATCTTGTTTTTGATCAAGAACCTTTAAACTGTTATAATTAGCCTGTTAGATGGCTAGTTAGGTGATTATAATTATAATACAGCTTTCCCTACCAGCATCGGAGAAGGTCTGCGAGAGCAGGCTAAGGCCAGTCCCATGATACCAACTGGAAGAGACTGTCAGGGAAAAGATAAAAAACTGGTAAAACAGGTCAAAGCAGGTAAAAGCGGTACACCTGGCAAGCCGGCTTTCATGTGAGAACATGAGATCCGTCACGTTCTCGCTGGTCGCCAGCATCGCTGGCTTACTCTCAGAGAATCCATTTTACGAGGCTTTTGTCTTTCATTGTGACCCGATTCAAATAATCTTTGCGCCAGAATCCAAAGTTGGATTCTCTCTAAAATTCAAAACCGTAGAGCAAGATCTGCTTCCTGAAAGCAAAAAAGGCTTGTGACGTCAGAGAAGTAAAATTTGCATCCGCGACAGTTAACACACTTAACTAGGAAGCATTTACATCCTCAAAAAATATCTTTTTTAGCTATCATTTAAGTATGCTGTTAGAAATAAAGACAAGAGAGAATTCTTTGGATTGCTGCTTCACTCAGCCGAAAAGAAAATATCAGTCAAAAAATGTTTAATTATTTAAACTAAAGCGCGCTTCAAATTAGCAATTGGTCAAGCAGCAAGAGATACCAAAGTGACCGAAGACTTAAGAAGGAACATGTTTAGGGCTGTCTATTAATTTTTGAGACCAGAAATAAGTTACTTTTTGAGTCTCAGTTCTTGTAAAATAAACAAAGAATCTTATTCATGGTTTACAACTTGACCATAAAATACCAGGCGCCCGACCACAGGAGCCAACAGAGGCAATATCAACTGATGATTGTGCTACGTGGTGGCCTCGTACTTACGCTGCAATTGTTGTTATGCGGAAATATAATGACTGGCCGAAATAACTAGAATCTTTTAGCTCAAATTGTTTTTCCGACTAATTTTATATAGACTAAGACTTTCCTAAACTCAAAGTTATATTTTATACCCTTTCCTAAATAATCCGCCATAACTGTGCAACAAATAGACGTTCAAACCGTTGCTTAAAGTGCGGAAACAGATTAAACGTATTTGAATGATTACTAGGTAAACTGTAACAAATTTTAGGCACATAAAAGTGAAAAACAGGGGACTTAGGGCGAGGACTTTATACTTTTAAAAGGTGACGTAGATCGTATTCACGTTCTTTAACCACCTACCAGGACTGCAAGCCAACACGGCTTGTACAATAGGCTTACAGATCCATAGCGGATTTTCAACCCGTCAACCAAACCAAGCGTCAAGAAGACAGCAGACATAATAATTTGTACAACTGAAAGGGCGATCAGGCTGCATTTTTCAGCACGTTCCATGGCTTTGCAGAGGTGAAGCCTGAGTTATTCAGTTACTGTCAGTCCTTAAAGCCTCCTTAAATGTTTCGACTTCTTTGTTTCCAAGAGACAGATTGAAACATGCACAAAATAAATAGATAATTAATTATGTAATCACTGAAGCACGCGGTTCTTGAGTACAGCCAAAAAGAGCTTTGTTCCTTAAATTATTCCAATAGCTATGACTTTCGGGAAGCCTGTTCCAGGCGTTCAGATAGTAGAGCGCAAGAGAAAAATTCACGAAGAAAAAAAAAAAACGAGGGGAGACTATCTGAACGCCTGGAACAGGCTATGACTTTGGGGGCACTCCCCACAGTAACCAGTTGCATTTGTTACAGTAGAGAGTTTTAGCTTCTTGTATACGTCAAACTGCAAAGGCGAATTTGTACCACGTGACCAACTTTCCCTTTTAACTGTCGTTTACTGTTTACCTTTTACATATACTGAATTCAGTAGTTTCACTCAACTTTTTATCTATAAGAATTCTTTTGAACTGCCTTTATCCGGTGCTCATTTTTATCTTGAGAAATTCTCAACTCAGTTGAATCAGACGTTTACCGTTTACCGTACATACGTGAAGCTAAAACTCGCTAATACTTGAGGTAATCATTGATTACGGATCCGCGTTCGTCACTTACGGAAAATTACGGAAACGAAATCGAGTCGATGGGAGGCCAGTTTTCCGGCTGAGGTGCCCCTGATAAAACTAATAGGGGCGGCTAATTTGCAGTCGCTCGTGATAGCTGGAAAATTTCTGCCTTAGTGCCACAGGACACCAGATTAGGATGCGTTCTGACGAACGCGATAGTGAGTGCATCCTTGTGTGTTTTTTTTAGATACATGAGAGCGTTATTAACAAGCCTGTGCAAGGCTCTCAGATAGTAGGGACATCGTGAAAATAAAACAAGCCAAGCGAAAATAAAACGTGCTTGATCTAGTGAGGGGGCGTGTTTTTTGCATCGCTTTTTACTGCACCTTGGAGCCCGGAACAGAACATTGTAGATTGTGAATGTGTCGACGTGAGGTAGGAGTAGCCTGAAAAAACAGCTGACTTTTCGCCACGCCACCACTGTTTTTCCCAAAAATGAGGGAAGCATTTTAAGTTTTTATGATGCCCGGGAAAAGGCGTCCAAAAAAACGCCTGAAACTTCAACACTCATTGTTGTAGGAGTTCATCCATCACCTAGCCACACGCTACCTATGGCTTTCCTGCACGCGCTACAAACGACTTTCAGCCAATTAGGGTGATGTAGATCCCCTTCCCCTGTAAATAAGGTGCAAAGAGATAGATAACATATTTATTGAATAAACTTTTTCTTTTCGTTCGTCGATCTTCGTGTTCGAGGTCACAGTCGTCAGAGTCGTCTTAAATAGTGAAGGATACAAAATTACCATTCCCATAAAGAAAACACACCAAACTTAGTCCCGGGAAAAGAAAAAAACGAGTTCATGTCTATTATTTTACTTCAATTAACAAAAGACCTTCCTTTGTTACAGTAATGAGTAAAAAAGGGCGGTTTGACAAAGACCCCCTCCCTATTAACCCCCGGATGTACAAGAAGAGTACGTTTGGAGGGAGGGGAGGGGGCGGGGGTGAGAGGAGGGGAGTGTCTCTCTTTCTCTCTCACACACACCTCCAAAAAAATTTTCTTTCGATTTCTTTGCAGAGAATGAAAAAAATGATATAGCCAGGTCCTTTTCTCTCCACTATCTGTTTATGGCAGTTTTTCGGTTGCATTCAAATTCCGTTTTACGAGGTATGACGTCATAAGCTACATAAACAGTCTATCCATTTTTTTTTGGTCTAGCAGAGATGTGAGTTAACACTACACATTTCTGATTAACTAAAAATAAAAAACAAAAAGGTAAGATGTTGAATTATAATATATTTAAAAACTAAAAATCATCTTTTGATCTCTGTACATCTCACCACAACTTCAATTGCAACATTACCCCTCCAGCCCATTCGCAGTTTTAGAAGGGTGAGAATTGAATGCTCGCACGTCTTGCCATCAAAAATATATTACCATAAATAGTGATTTTGCTCTGAATTTTGAATTTTGTATACTAACTAAATATACAGCCTTTTTGGGCCTCGCTCCTCGAACAAACTTTAAATATCACTCAGCATGCCAGGGGGCTAAATACAAAGTTCTGGAGCCTATAAATTATTATTGAGCTAATTACTTCGGGAGATCTAGATATGATAAACAAAAATAAATCCCTAAATATACAACCTTTTGTAGGTACAATTAATGTTTTATCGTAGCCTACAGTTTTAGCCTGAACTTTACGCTAACAGGCTTTTCCGGTTTAAACCTACCCCCCGCCATTACTCTCACTATGATTATAACTTCCAACATAAGTAACTCGTGTTTCGGGAACCGTTATTTGATGAGAAGAAGGGGATGCACAATCAGTTACGTCTGCGGGTTCAAAACCTGTATTGGTTTGTCTTCGGACGTCTCTGATTTGAGCTGGCTGTAGAACGAAAAGAGGCAAAGACAATCACTTAAATGTTATTTCAATTCTTCTTCTGTTCGTCAGCAAAGGCTGTGCATTTTATATTATTCATATCATGGACAGTGGCCATCAAGAGGTAGACAAACTAAACACATTACCGTAAACTGCTGCCCATAAATTGAGCCCCCCCCTCCCCTCCCTACTTATAAGCTCATCTTCCTGCAAACAAACAAATATATCCGATTATAAGCCCACTGGATATAAGTCCCTTCTCCAAATGCATTGAAACGAATTCGATTTCTTATGACGTTTTGAAGCTCATGCACTTAAAAACCAGTAAATGCAAAACGTATTTTTATCAGCACTGCTAAAGCTTATTTTGAAGCGCTTTTTCTACTCCGGTTATTCAGTATCCCCTTCGGATATAAGCGCCTCAGTTTATAAACGCTCCCAAAACGCCACGAACATGTTTAAGCTTAGGCATAATCACTTAAGGCATGACTGCCTAATTAAATATGCACGGAACGATTTGCTTCCATCAGTCAGTGATCCTGAAAAGTGAACTACAGATGTGGCTCAACGAAAAAAACACTTGAAACGTGAATTCAAACGACACGTAACAATGCTTCGTCAATGACGTCACAAAACACGTTTTCCTAAACGGGGAAGGGTTGCAAACCTTAATCTTAGGAATGGTCACTAAAAAAATGTTACATAAACAGTGTACATCGTAATCTGCCTTGTATGATTGGAAATATTATTTATCCTATTAGCTATTTAACTAATTAATAAGTCACGTGACCCTTCTCCCTTTATTTACCGATCCCTATAACACGTAAAGACACATACAAAGCGAATTTTTTAGAACCTTTCTAATAGCCTTTGAAATGTACCTGAAAGAACTTGTTTCTCTTTCATTATCCTTTCCCGTCATTTTAGAGTAAATTTTTTGACCGTTAATTTTCAATTATCAGTCACGTGACAGAAATTTGAGCTTCTAAAATATCTCATATTGCTAAGGCCAGTGTGCTACATTTGTAGTTGAGTTTTCAGGATCATTGATAGAAGCAAACCTTCCTGGACAGCATTTTATCAAACATGCACATTTAATTAGATAGTTATGCTTTAACCCTTTAAGCCCTAAGAGTGATCAGCATGAAATTTCCCTTGTAATATCAATGCCTTGTAAAACATAGTGGTCATGAGAATTACGAACATGATCATAAAGATGGATTTGCTTGATATTTTATCAACTTCTCTCCACTACTTCTGTAGGAAATTAATAGGGGCAACAAATGAGAATTCAAATTTTGATCTTATCGTTTAAAAGGTTAAGTGGCCTGAAAGACCATCCGTTTATAAGCCCTCCCAAACATGACCCCTTTTATACGAAGAAGTATAAACCCAGAGCTCATAAGCGGCCATTTACGGTATTTGTTGAACGAAGCGATTTCATAATGCCATTTATACCGTACCTGATAATACATAGCGTACATTGGGATGGTGGGCTGTTGAGCCCCCTTGTGGCTTGAATCGCTGACTTTTGCTAAAGCAGCAGCCAGGATAATTTCAATGACAGACAACACAATGATGATACCAAATACAGCAAGTGCATCATTTTCCTGTTTAGTGTACTTCAACTTGAAATCTTTCTTTACAAAGTACTTGCGGGAGTGGTCGGAGTAGGAAATCTTGTTTGACAACAGCAATTGGACACCCCATGTCTGATACCTGAATACTGTAATAGCGGAGTAGATAATACATGCCACGCTAACCGACCAAATAGCATGGATCTAACAAAATCAAATTCAAGAGTTAAGCTTTCTGAAAGGCCATGGCTTTTCAGAAAAAATGATAAGTGCTTGAATATCCATTAGTTTAAGTTTTTCCGATAGTCCGTTAATGGTGTTCAGGGGGCTCTATAGAGTTTTTCAGGGCAGGGTCAATACCCCTTAAGTTTGAGCAACGTCGCCGTTATCTCAGTGATCTTTCACACACGTTGAAAAAACGATTGAAACTACCATGAAGTTAAAATTGCATTTCAAAACTAGCGCTTCGTTTTCTACAGATAACTTTCGAACATCAAGATTGTCCAGTTTTTATCGTTTTTCTAACCATAAAAAACTTCATCCCAAAATATCTTGTTACATGTAATACTTTTATAGATTTCGCCTAAACGTGACGAACATTGAGGTGGCTATTAGAAAAAAAAAAGCTCTCGCGAGCGATTTTGGAAGAACAGTTCCCAGTGCCGAGAAGTAGGGTTGCATGTTAAATAGGTAATGGCGTCATTTTGTTGCTATTGCAACTCCGATGCCATTGTAGCCCTAGTCAGAACAAATTTTCATCTTTATCTAATAGAGCCGTGGTGGTAATTTTTCGAAATCTTTGCTAATAGAGACGTACTTTATCCTTAATACTTGGGAGGTTTTGACTCTGAAAGACCCTATCGGGCCACCTTAAAATAACAGAATTTATGTTTACGCCGGGTTTATTTTTTATTTTAATTTTTACTTTTTTTTAATCAGGAGTATTTACAATTGTAAGTTTCCTTTTTGATAGGAGTGGAGGTTCAATTTTTTTTAAACCTTGTAGTTTAAAACACCTTTATCTACGTGAAATTGAATGTGGGGACTCTGTTTTTCGGGTAAAACGAGTATTTAAATGTATTTGGAGGTAATAAGTTAAAGCTTTGCAGGTCAGTCTTTCAGTTCCATCTTTTGACAACTGAGCACCAACAAAGACTCAATGAATGAAAAAAAAAAAAAAAGGAAGAAAGAAAGAAAACTAAGACAAAAAACAACAACCAAAACGTAAGTTGCCCACAAGAGCCATGGTTGCCTACTACTGGAAAGTAGTTGCTTTAAGACAAATTTCAATGCTTTTCTTTAGAAAAACCGTTACTTTAGGTGCTGTTTGTTCTCCTGAAGGCTAAATTGATGTCCTTGTCGAGAAATCTTACCAGAAGTGAAGATCTCTTGTGAATTATGATCAAAACCAGTCCCATAATCCCGTTTGAAAGAACCTAAGTAGTAAAAGAGCAAAATTACAGAATGAATGAAATATTTAATTACTTTGTGTAGGTAATAGCGTGATTTGTAGTGATATTTGGCATAAATACCACGAGTGATATTTCGAAATTGTTATACGTAATTTCACGAGCCGTTAGGCGAGTGAAATTTGAGACAATTTTGAAATATGACAAGTGGTATTTATGCCAAATATCACGTACAAATCATGCTACTACCCACGAAAGGTTTGTAATTTTCACATGTAGGTATTTCAAATTAAGCTGAAATACCACTGCTCTAAGCCAATCAGATTGCAGAAATTTCTCATGTAGTAGTGTAAAAACAATTATTTCATGAACTTGAGTAATCAATAAAATATATACAGATCGGTTGTTGTTGTCATGGTATTTACACCATGCATCCGAACAGTTCACTCGGCCTTCCCAATCGCTCCCGGCGATTTCGGATGTGACGTCACCTGTCAAGTGTATTCAAGAGAATACTCACCTGTGACGTCACCTGTCAAGAGAACTGGCATGGGGACCGAGGTTGGATCCTACTATCGCAGCTGCTCTCTCTACGAGAAGTCATCCAGAAACCACTTGTCATTGCGTGGCTTCTAATCTGTAATTAACGGGTTAAGTATCGTTCTAACAGGAGATATCGCAAGTGTTTGTCGCCTTGCGCGCAGGAAGCAATTCAATTTCACCATGATTTCCCGTTACAAGATAATTTCGCATAAATCGCTGGAAGGAAATTCGCAAAATATCCTTCTGGACACTAAACCTTACTGATCAAAATACCTAAGAAACAATCATTCATCAAATACAATTAAGTATTAAGAACGTACACTAGATAATTTTCGTTTTTGCAAATTTAATGTCTTTTCATTTTAAGTCCTTAAGATGACAAGCTTCTTAACAATTCAATTTATACTTTACGCACGAACGAAATTAATTATCTTGAATATTGGCCCCTGCCAAAGAGTGAAAATTTTTCTTAGTGTTGGAGATTTTCAGAAACGTATTAAATTGTTCTAAATGAACATAGAAAGTTAAGCTTTGACATTTTTTGCACGGTTTTGAAAACTGATTTCTCTCGTGTGACTACATCATGAAATTCAGATAAGTGTTAACTCAGATGCTAAGTCACGCGAGACCAACGTGCGAAAATTGAATTCATCTCACGACTGAAAGCTTAAAAAGCAAATTCAGTTTACTCCTTTTTGTATACGACTTAATGATCGGATACCAGAAAGAACAATCCGAGAAAATGCTTTTGAAGAAAATAAAAAGAGACCTAGATTAAAAATTTAACAAGCGTTTGAACAGATCGTTTTTTTTTAAACTTGCACCAGAGCGATATTGTCTTTACCTTCAACAAAAAATACTCTTACAAAGATCTGGGTGCTTGAAAAAAATTTAACACAGAACCTACCAGAGGAACAATCCAACAGGGCGAAAACACTAGGCTGACATAAACAAAGCGAATCTCAAGTCCGTCTACCATTCCAAGAACAAAGAAAAGGCCTGATATACCAATTTGGAAAAGAGACAGGAATGCCAGGGTTATCTTCTTAGATTTTTCCATTGCAGTTGCTTGTTAGCGAATGAGGAAGCTTTACTGAAAAGCACTAGTTCGTAGCGGTGTTCACAAATACCAGGAAGAGTTACATTAACGTAATTTACGTTTGACGTCACGAGCTTCATGTCCCTTTGCATGTTATCTCTCGAGCACAGATTGTTTACCACAACCGTGCTCACAATCGTTTCGCGTTCGAATTAGCAAACGATGTGGCAGGGGGCGAGGGGAGAAAGCAGTGACAAAAACCCGCGGTTTCCAATTCACCCCAACCAAAACGAGGTGTTTCGATCTAACGGCCTATGTACGTTTAACACCTCCCATCTACACAGTTCCACAATTCATTCCATCCCCTCCCTCCATGAGCTTCCATTTTTCGGGCCGGCTCCCCCCGAGCTTCACGAGGTTCTGCACGTTTTTCTAGTTATATAAGAAGGAGCTCTATGGGCTTGCACAGCTACTTGGTACTAACGCAGTTGACATTTTTATTCAGCTCGCACAAAATTTAGAAGGTTTTGCGGAAAAACTCTCAGGCAGTTTTCCTACCCACGTATTATCAATGATATTTTGCAAATTTTCAGCAGTTGCACTGGTATAGATTCACTTTAAGCTATAGATTCAAATATGGCTTCAAAAGTTTCACAATCGTTTCGCTTTCGAATTAGAAAACGATGGGGGAGGTGGCGAGCGTAGGAAGCAGTGAGAAAAACCGGCGGTTTTTCTCTGTTCCCCCTCACCCCCTCTCCCATCGTTTTCGCGTGTTACCTCGCTCTCGACAGTATATATACGAACCCAAAACGAGAACACGTCAAAAAAACCCGCCAGCTACGCATGACACGCAATCGGAAGCATAAAAAGCCCGGCCAGTAATATTACATAGGCGGAACACGCGGAACATAGATTGCTGCACCTGTATAAATCCCGCATTTTCAAAAAGACTCAAACGAAAACTTTCCTGTAAGTTCGCTGCTTCTTGTACAAATGCCTAGTTACAGCCACAATAAAGTTCGGTGCAAACTGAGCTTCGGACTTAAGGAAAGCTTCAAAAACAAAGGGTGTATTATTTGTTTTATTTATTCGAAGTACGAGTATACCGGAGTCTTTATACACGCTTAGCGTGTGCATAAGCGTGTCGTATGAGCGTGTTATAACCAACAAAATATGTTCACCCATCTATCATTAATCATGAATATAAGCAACAACATTCTCAAATCGGATTCGTCCAGATCTCACCACTAACAGGAGAGTGCAATAGGAAAGTACGCGTTGTACCTAATTAATTAGACAGCACGCGCCATCGCGCGCGCGCACTTTAGCACGTGGCATACAATTGCATCTGAGGCGAAGAGAGTTCTGATTTTTGAAAAAAGTATTCATCTCTATTATGGACTAGCGCAATTGGTTTCCCTAACACTTATCCATTGGATAGTGATTTATCCGGTGGATAGCGCAATCCAACTTTTGAACAACTGGCGCCAGGTATATAGTTTACGAAGGCAAATAAACATTGGTCAGAATGGACTAGGTACATGAAATTTAATTTGTAATTTTCACTGTGCTCATCAAAATTACTCTATATTAAAATAAACTCATTACAACAACAAATGGTACATATAAGGCTGATTTAGAGAGCTCCTTATAATCGCAAAATATTATGTAAAGAAGTAGATAATAAATTGTTAACTGAGCTAGTTTAAAAATCAGTAACTACCAACAACTAATACTTAAAAGTAATGCCGCATTTTTGAGTGCGCTTGGTCTTACAAATCGGGCGCAAAGGGGTAGCTAGCACCTAACCTCAGATAATAATAATGCTAAAATTTCTCCAGTTTAGGGAGAATAAAGTGTAACGGTTGGTTTTCGTTCTGTTGTCTTGCAACGTAGACCTGACAAAGGTGGACTCGTCTCTTATTTAAGGTAGTGAGGGAAAGTGCACCCTTTTCGCACTCGTACCACTTATCAGTCAGTTTTTCCTGGCATTTCTACGGCTCCGCTTTCAGTATCAAGGCAGTTTAGAAATACTATCATTTTCCAAAGCAAAATCTCACCATGGCTGATATATATTCAAGATAAAAGTTAAATACCTTTATTTATTCAGAGAAATCCCATCAGAGTCAAGGCAGACGAGCCCCCCAAAACAAATTATTTACAATACAAAGGAGTAAAATAACAACCTAAAATTATTACAACTTTAAAGTAATTGATAAAAAGATATTAAATATAACAAGCACTAATTAAAATTCTAAATAACCTGACAACTGCAAAGGTATTTAAAATGAAAGCGCTGTAATATCATGAGGATATCTAGAAATTACAGATAATAACGAATATTGCATCACTGTCCCAAGTACTTTTCGTCCAGGATGGTATTCAAGATAACGCAAAGTAATTCTCTTTATTGACAATCTATGAAAGGTAAATACAATCACTACCGGTAGCTTACACTAGATCAACGTTGACAATGAAACTGATTTGGCCATGGCAACAGCAAAGCCTTTCAGTAGAGAATAGTATTTCCGCAAAAAAAGAAAGAAAAAAAAGAAAGTGTCTTTTACTTCTAATGAGGGGACACTTCATGATAAGGAGTTGGTATGTCCTGGGCTGTAATTAGGCTTACGTATGACCCAGTGTCTGCATTGGTTTGTCCCAGAAGCCCACTGACTTGGCCCACTGGCTGCTGCTAAAGGAAAAGAAACGAAGAAAGTTACTTCGCGATTTCATTTCTTCTGTTTGCGTTTCGTTGTGCAGTTTTAATAACTGACAACTGTACATTACTAAATGAAGGCGGTTGCAAAACATATAGTATCGTGAGCTAATATTTCGAAGTTAAATTCTACGATGCAGTAAAAGAATATCTTGTAAATAACTAGCAAATGCCAACGTACAAAACGAAGATGTCAGATCCTAATGGATCTAGACAGCAAAATGTTTTGGGAACAAACAGTGAAAAAAGCAAGGCTATAAGTTTACATTTTCTTTCAATATTTCGTCAGATACAGGCCAGATCGAAATTCTTCCAAGTTGCTGCTGCCAGGTCAGTGTAATTGTGGCCGCTGTAACTGGATAAATTGAACTGACCCACTCATACAAACCCACCCCCCGCCCATTTATGGCGTAAGTGTAATAGTTAGACGAAGAAAAAGAACGATGTGTTTCATTGTATGAGTACATGTCACAATGCCATTATTGCCGTACCTGATAGTATATAGCGTACATTGGGATGGTGGGCTGTTGAGCTCCCTTGTGGCTTGAATCGCTGACTTTTGCCAAAGCAGCAGCCAGGATAATTTCAATGACAGACAACACAATGATGATGCTAAATAGAGCAAGTGCCTTATTTTCCTGCTCAGTGTATTTCGGCTCGTCGTTTTTCTTTACAAACCACCATTTGTCGTCGCGGTCGTAGCGTGAGTTCTGACTAATAGCAAGAATCGTCAGTGATTCGACACCCCAGTCCTGATACCTGAGTACTGTAATAGCGGAGTAGATAATACATGCCATGCTAACCGACCAAATAGCATGGATCTAAAGAAATTGAAATCAATAAATTATTAAGTCTACTGAAGAGATGACTCAGGTATGTTAATCAGAAGGAAAAGTTGCACTTTTGAATAGGCACATACCAGGGGCCCATAACATGGAGCTAGCAACTCTCACACTAGGCCTACGTCACGGCAATTGCACGGACCGGTTTATTTTTAGATTGACATAGAGCGGTTCTCCGCATTTGAAGAATAAGGCGTGCATAAGGAGACCGAAACTTCATTGAAAGGTCAAAATACCATTTTCAGTTCTGTAGGTTTTGACTGGTTTGTGGCACTTGGCAAAATACTCCAAATTCGCGCCAAAATCGTTCTAAAAATAAACTGGCCATGCTTAGTAAGAACGCCATGACACGAGTACATGGAAGTTACTTACTCCGGGTTATGGGATCCTGCATATATTTTTTTCTCTGGGGGACTTGAATACAGGACCCCTTTATTCCTGATAAAGATATTGTGAGGAGCGGAAGGGAAGTATTTAGCCTGAAGGGGACATTTTACACAGCCTCGTATTGACTTGTTTCGTCTTGTTCAGTCCTTTCGAAAGCGACGACAGCCGTTTTGCTTTGCTCTCTCCAGTATCTGCCACTTCAATAAGTTTCAAGGCGGCGCAAGTTCCAGTTTCCTCCAATAATTTTGCTCTTCTTCTACGAGGCGATCAATGTTTTCGGAGGGACTTCACTTTCTAATCCGTTAGCTTGCCTCACCTGTTGTTGTTGTTACTTTTGTTTTGAGGTGGTGGTGGTCGAGTGGGGAGGGGGTAGGCTCAGTCTTCAGCCGTGGGAAGGGTGTCTCGATGCGCCCAGGGTACCTCCTAACCGGCCAAGCCTTGGAGAGGGGAGAGGGGAAAGTCTTCTCTTTCGGAATTTTAGGTTACGTTTTCCTCTGTCAGACGTCTACGAGTGTTTATCGAGTAAATCTTACCAGGTTTGGCGATCTTTTACGGCTTTCGCTTAAAAGAAGTCCCAAGATGCCATTTGCAAGAGTCTGAACAGTAAACGCACAGAACAAAATTAAATTTGCATACCTAAATACTACATTATTTTTATATGCATATGAGTATTTCGTCGGAGAATCAAAGATTTAGCTAAAATGCTAAATTGGGACACTGTTAACAAAATCAGCTCCTATTGACATATACATTAAAAATCACCCCAAAGTAGAAATGTGAACAGCTGTATGTACTATAAGCCAAAATTATAAAAAAATGAAATAAACGTATATTATCCAGCGTTCGATCTACATCAAAATTCTAACTTGCTTTCTATTATATTGTTCTCTGTTATTCCCAGAAGAGACACCAAGAAGACCAAACCAAAGATAAATACAAGTGTTGTCACTGCTTATTTAAACTTGTAACGAGTGAATGAAAAGAGGTTTGTTACAAGAACCAGTGCGCTTTTGGGCCCTGTGGCATAAAAACTGCACGTACGTGCTTACGCTGACTTTTTAGAATGCTAACTTTTAGATGAGGTTAGTGTTAATGCAAAGAATGCGGACATTGGAGATTTCATGTAGCACTAGTCGAACCATGTCTAAAGATGTTTAACTACGTCAAGCCAATAAATTAGGAGCTTTGACAACAACCAACAACAACACAGTGACAAAGGGAAGTGAAAAGGTTACTAAACTACACTAGCCTTATTTGAACCTGTCTATCGCCTTTATTTAGCTTCGCTCAATTTGTCAATATAAATTATTAAATGTAGACGAAAACGAGACAGGAAATTCATCTTCCGTGTCGTCACGTCATCTATAACATAAAACGTCGCAACACAATGTTTTACGTTGTAGATGGTAACGAAAAAAAAGTGTTATTCACTTGCAGTGCTGTAGTTTTGCTCTTTAAACAAACATTGTTTTCTCTCGTTCTTATTGCCATCGTCATCGTGTATACCCTTCGAGAAGAGGTTTCTTTCCGGCATCATGGTTGCTTTTAGTATTATATTTGCGGAGTCGTTCGAGTCCTTCATATTGGAGACGTTGGCATGCGCAAACAAGCCAACTACTCAGCGGACTCTGCTCGCAGGGTACGTCATGTACACAAGGTGTAATACTTCACGCACGAAAGGAATTGCTGAAATTTGTGGAATAATCCAAATAATAACGGCGTCGGTCAAACTTCTGAGCCTTTCGGCCTTTCGCTGAAAACACCTAGTGCAAAGCGGAAAAGTATAATATTGACCAGGGCGGACAAAGGTTGGGCGGTGAAACAAGCGCGTCCGTGCAAAAAGGTGTGATGAAGTGGACTGGGATCAAATTATGAGTTGCTGATTAAAATGGCTTCTCTGGTTTCTTCCATGACCGGCCTCCTTACCAATTTAAATATTTCCGTTCTGGTACTCGCCGATGTCGATGTTCTTCCAAAAGAAACTAAAAACTGTCTAAAACACGAAGCAAAACCTCATCCATGGCAAAAGTATTAAAAGACAGCAGATGGCGTTTCATAACCACATGACGTGTCTTTTATAAATTCGTACAACTCCTGCAAGGTTAATTATGCTTAATTAATTGAAATCAACATCACGCTTCCCTTTATTTTGACAAAACTTCTCATACGTTTTTCTGTTTCTTCGGAACTTCAAAATTAGTTTCTCCTCAGTTTTTACTGTTTACTTTTTTTGTTTACGAGAGAAAACGGAAAAAAAACCGTACAATTTACTTTCAATAAATTTTGTTCTCATGCGGTTGCCGGATTCGCTACGCATTGCGCGAATCGCCATGGCGCGTTGCACCCGAGAAACAAAGTTTGTAGTAGTACAACGCCACTATATCCAAATGTATCGAGCTGATTTTTTGTTATGTTATATAGAATTTTTCTCCCTTTGACACATGTAAAAATTAAAGTTAAGAAGTGTTAAGCTCTTGTAAACGGCGAAAGACGATTACGTCATATTTAGTGGAAGGAGGAGGCATTCAACACTTTCAAATTAAACTCAAATTTTGGCATTATACGACCAACAAGTTTGACTTGTAGGGCATACAGACATAAACATATGAAACTGTTTATTAATACTGTTATGAAACAAATTTTTGTTTTTAACAATGTAGCCTGAAATTACAGAAATAGAATAGGATTTCCGGTTTGCCAAAAAAAAAATTTCGCGGGCCAACAGGTGCACCGGAAGCTCGGAAAGAGCGCTCGTGCCAGTCCTACTCCGCACCGCACATTAAGAAAGAGCGGAGTGTTCGTTTCACCGCTCAACCTTTATCCGCCCTAATATTGACAGATGGTCCGACACTATCCATCGAGACATTGGCAGTGAAAAACTTAGAACTTTTTAAGTGAATTTTCAGAATGATTTGTAATTTAACAGCATATTATCTCCACATTTTGAACCGAGTGAATAACAACTATGAGCTTTCGCAAAGTTCTGTCGTTTGACCTGATCACAGTACATGCGAAAACGAGACGACCACTCCTAATGAATAAACATACACATCGAAATAAGCGTGAAGATCCCACGGCAAAAAGTTCGGAAGGTTTTCTCTTCTCTTGTACCATCATTCGAGTAGTAACACTTTTATCCATGACGAGATATAATCTTACAAAGAGTTAAGTCATTGACAAATGTAAAAACAGACAGGAATCAGAAGCACTAACTTACCAGCGGAACAATCCAACATGGCGAAAACACGAGGCTAACATATCTATAGCGGATTTCAAGTCCGTCCACTAATCCCAGAACGAAAAAACAGACGGATATCACAATTTGGAAAGAAGATAACAATGTCAGGGTTCTCTTGTTAGTATTTTCCATGGCAGTTGCAAATTAACAAATGAGGAATCGAAGCTTGATTGGAAAGGGTAGTTTGCTTGCAGCACAAGGAAGTGTTTGTTGAATACTATTAAAAACGAGGACGTCATACGCATATTATCTTACAGTTACAGCTGTTAAGCTATCTGCTTTCTTTCTTAAAAGTTAAACTGTGTCTTTGCAGGAACTGAATTCTGACAATAATGGACCAGTTTTGTTAATTGAGACTATATTTAGAAATGAAACTGTTTTCTGTCATCTTTCATGGATTGAAACGTGTACTAGTTGAGCCCATTTTTGCCTGTAGAAATCACCAAAAAACATGTTATCGTTAGCGGAGTCATAAGCGCGACGGAATCGGAATCAGAAGAATCATTTTCCATTTCTTTCCATTTCTACAGACTCCGTTGCTTACGTTGTACTTATGATCTACTGAAAGCCAGAAGAAGAACTAAACCAATCGCAATGCACGTTTCCACGCTTTGTGATTGGTTTAGTTTTTCCCCTTCTGCTTCCGACTCCGACCATCTGGTTTTCAGTAGATCATAAGCGGAACGTAAGCGACAAAGTCGTAAGCGGAATCGGAACGCTGTTTTCACTAGATCATAAGGCTAGCGCTACGCTTCTGATAACGACTCCGACTCTGTCGCTAGTGAAAACCAACCTTTAGCGCTCTTTGATATCTTTTTTCCTAACTCGAACCTTTGAGGAGAATTTTGTATATGGGCAAAAAAAACCCCCCATAGTAAGAATTATAATTAACTTAACCGTAGGTGGCCGCGGTCACTTTCAAGGTTTACGAGTTAAATTTTAGCTTTGTATTTAAATCCCTTTAAGCTACCATCTGAAATGAATTCTAACTCAAAATGCAAAAGGATCTACCGACTTCCCACTTCCCATTTTTAACTTCCAACTTACTACTTCTGACTTCAGCTGTGACTTCCGTCCCCGCATTTCCCTCTGAAACTTGTATTTCATCTCGCTGTTCATCACGATGAATTTATATCAGATTCAGTGTTTTCTTTTGTTTTCTTTTTTCACCAACATGTCCGGGCACTTCAAAACATCACTTGAATTTTATGCTTGTGACTGAATTAAGACATTGTGAAAACAACAGTATAGCCAAATACCAAGAAACAGTTTTTTTTGCATTTCCAATGTTTATTTGTAGTTGAGCAAGCTCCCGTAAGCGACCATTTAACCCTTATATCTCTACTAGCCACTTATGAGATCATCAGTTCTCTTAAGCGGCCAGCTCCAGGTCCGTTTACTGTTTTAATTTTAAAATTTGCAGCTCCAGTAACGGACAATTTTTTTCGTCTCCGGGGTGTCCACTTACGAGAGCTTCTACTGTAGAAAGTATCAGACTTGTCTTCAAGGCTGAGGAGAATGATGATGATAACGATAACGATAACAATAGCGAAAACGAAAACGAAAACTATAGCGATAACGAAAACGATAACGATAACGATAACGATAACCACAACGATAATGATAATGATAATGATAATGATAATGATAACGATAATATAGAAATGAATTATTAATCGCTGAATCTCAGTGCGATTTCTTGTTTTATTTCCCTACGAGTAATCATCACATCACAAAAACTACATAACAACAACATAAGAGCCCGGCGTGCCCAATCGATAAAATCAATTGTAATCGATTATAATCGATAGTAACTAATCGATTAATATCGAAAATCCATAAAAATCGAGATCGAAAAAGAGTATCGATTTTCATTGATTTTCATCGATTATATCGATTGTCAGTGGTAATCGTTTAATAATGATTTCGGATACGTTTGAGCTACTTATTAGTAAATGAATTCTTACCTGTTGTAATTTTCTCTCTTTCTTAAAAGAGATTTGTCGTTCAGTTGCTACCTTTCCTTCACATGTGGCGAAACTACGAAAAACTTGGTTGAAAGTGTGTTGAAAACTCTCTTCGAAAGTCTGATCAGTTGAAAACCATAATACGTGGCCAACACCCTTTTAATAGCGGCCATAGATGAATTGTCACAAGCTCTTTTTGAATATGTCCCAGTTGTCCCTTCGAGTTCACAACTCGGAGTGCCTCTCCTCGGGCGCCGATTTTTTCTCGAGAACAAATGATTCACCCGTCCTTACTGTAAATGGGCACTGGTGATAGCTCTTCACTACAGGCTCGATTAATAAAACGTTCATTTCGCCCGTCAGTTGACGACTCGCAAGACTTAGGCAAGACTGACTCGGGTCCACGCGTACGGATGCGTAACGTAGCCGCTTAAACCCGGGGCAAATCGTTCAGTTATTAAGGCTGATTAATTAAAATCGATGAAATTAAGAGGATTTTCATTGTGCGTATCGATTTTCATCGATTGTGGAAACCAATCGATTCATTATTATCGATTACACTCAAATGATATCGATTGGTTTCCGATCATGATCGATTTCCATCGATTGGGCACGCCGGGGCAAGAGGCATATGATCAGTATGACCATCTGGTCCCTCCAAATGACCAAACTTTGTGAAGATCAGCATCCTGCGGCCGCCCTTCCCCCTTCTCCACTTTTGTCAAAATGTCGGCTAGCCCAGCTTTTCACAAATTCCTGTTACAAAAGCGCTCCTTAGAGAGGTACTCAGCATGTAATAAGATTGAATTTGCTATTAACTGTGCGTGGCATTGCAGACTTCGTAGCATATATTTCCCGCCCTTTGAAGACTTCAAAGAAATACCTAGAAGGAATCACGAAGCAAGATCGACGTCTGAACAACGGCGTACTTATGCAAGTCAAAAAGTTGATAATGAACGATCCGGACACAGTTAAGATTGTAAGCAAGCAAACAGGTTTTTGTTCCTCGGGACTTGGACAAAGGACATTCTGGGATATTTGAATAGAAGTATACGCTTTGCTTGGTGACCTGTAACTTTGTTAAAGTACTTTAATTTATGAATGTGACTCACTCTATTTTTAAAAGTTAACCATCGGTGAGTGTAAAGTGTCAAATTAAGTTTGTATGCAATCGTTATTTTCCTTCAGTATCCACTGGAAATGTTTGTTGTTCTTTTCTTTTTCTTAACGACGGCTTTAAAGTGTCAGCAGACTTTTAAAAAGTACATCGGTTGCATAAACAACACTGAAGTGAACACTTACGAAAATCGTAAGTACAGCTACTTAAGTAATTTAATGTAACTCCCTTAAGTTACAAGTATTTACTTACTTATACCACCCGTAATTGTTACGGGCGTTTTATGCAACCGGGCCCTGGTTGGCACATTAATATTACAATAGGTGACGTCAGTGTGACTGTCCTATACGACCAAAAAGCCTTGGAGTCATGTTAGAATTCTGATATATCGAACGAGAGTTATTAGATCACATGTATATGAAGATCATAGAGGAAAATTTATCATGTAGCACTATCATTGACTTTGCATGAGCCATAGCGAATGTTGTTGGTAGCCTTCCACGGAGAGGTACTCTTTGCACTTTGTCACGCATTCCTTCCCTACGAAGGAAGGCGTGACGTTAAAGATCATTTTAAAAAATATCAATCGTTTGCAATGGAGATTTTATGTAGCACTGGTCGAACCATTAGGACAGATGTTTAACTATGTATAATAAATTAGGAGCTTGGACAACCATCGACGACAACACAGTGACAACGGCAAGTGACAACGCTCTTAAATGCGGTAAAAGTCTCGCTTGCTTGGAGATTAGATAAGAAAGGAGGAGGCGATTCTACACGGAACAGGATTGACTTCCGAAAAATTTTTCACTTCCTACCTTATCGACGGCCGAGGATTCTTCAGGATATTTACTTTTTATATCGTATTCGACGATTTCTTTCTGAATTGAATTAATACGCGTGTTAGCGACGACCGGAAATAGATCCGCGGTCGCAGGCTATACGCGAGTATAGTTACACGAAAATTCAAGGGCCTCGAATCGAGAGAAATAACATCATTGCCAGAGATAAAAAACGTGATGAGATCATGGCGCGTCCTTTCAATCATCGCCAAAAATACACCGCATGCTTATCACAAGACTCATTTACATACAATGAAAGTTTACAACACCCGACCAGTTAAGCCTCACAAACAATTATTTCCACAGGTAACCCAGGCTCTGTGATAATACCACAGTACCGTTCCAGTAGAATTTCAGTGTTTATTTGGGGTGAAAATACGATCGTAAAATTTCTAGGAAATACTAAATAAAGATCAATGAAACTTACTCTGCAGTTAGTTGTTGTTGTCCTTAATGCTCCAACGAAGTTTCGTGATAATTTGTTCAAATTCACTCTATATACAAAAATAATATACAAGGTGGGAGACAAGAGATGCGATCTTCGCCGCCATGCTCTCATTCAACAGAACTTTTTCCACGAAATTCGAATTCCAACAGAAAATAAACATGCCAGGATCGAAGTAATAGGATAGCAGCAGATATAGAAACCAATGAAGCTTTCCCAGATAGAAAAACGAATCCCGCAGACTTTGACAAACTCGAAGGATGTAATCCAAAAAGGCCAAGAGTATGCTCGCCGAAGTAGCCGGGACAGATCAACGCGCTGCCAAGAAAATGAGGCCTGGGCACTGTACGAAAAAAATCCATCCCGGGTGTCCTGGGTTGACCTTTCTAGGGACCGATAGATAGCTTTACCAAAGTTAGCTACCCCTACTGGAAATACATTTGCTCAAGGGCTCTTGTTCACTTGAAACAAACGCAACTCGCCCAAGCAAACTACATGTTCCAGTGCAGACGTCAAAATGAGAAAAAAAGAAAAGGTACACCAAAAAAACTAAAGAAATATACTAAAGGAAATCAAAACACACACACATACCTGACGATGAAGATATATCCGAACAGTCAACGACGATACTTAAACTACAATAACGGTCACAAATGTTACACTAAACGGCGGAATAAGTGACCTGAAATTTAAATTAAGCCGACAAAACCGCCGGTCCTAAATCAGTGGAAACTCACACTTTAGCACGTTGACACAAATACATCGGGGGAAGGAGCGGGGGTGGGTGGGTGGGGGGATAGAGTTCTGATGTTTGCCGAAAAGCATTCTTCCCTTTCGTCATACGCCCAGGGAGACTCACTATTATGGACTGTACGGGGAGGCATCGCCCTGGGCTACCCAGTAGCCTATCCAGGGGAAGGCCCGGGGGGCCCGGCCTCCATTATATTTAGAGAAAACTGAGGCCCGAAGGGCCGAAAAAAAGTTTTGGAGACCGGCCCCTCTCCCCCTTATTTAAGGTTCTGGATGACCGGGCTCCCCCCTTATCTAAAGGTCTGGATCCGGCAATGCTACCGGTAATACACAATACAATGGTCACAACGGACTACGTACATGTAATTAATTTGTAATTTTCACTGCGCTCATCTTGAGTGCGCTTGGTACAAATCAGGCGCAAGCGGTAGTTAGAGCCTGACCTCAGATGATAAATATGTATGCTGAACTTCCCCCACTTTAGGGAGATTTAAGTGTAACGGGTGGTTTTCGTTCTGTTGTCTTTCAACGTAGACCTTACAAAGGTTGACTCGTCTCTCATTTAACGTGGTGCAGTGCGGAGAAAGTGCACCGGTTTCACTCTGGTACCACTTGTCAATCAGTTTTTTCTAGCATTTCTATGGCTCCGCTCTCAGTACCAAGGCAGTTTAAGAAGTACTTTTTTATTTTCAAAGCAAAATCTCGCCTTGGCAGATATATATTTAAGATAAAAGTTAAATACCTTTATTTATTCAGGGAAATCCCGTCAGAGTCAAGGCAGACGAGCCCCCAAAAAACAAATCATTTACAATACAAAAAGGAGTAAAATAACAACCTAAAATTATTACAACTTTAACGTAATTGATAAAAAGATGTTAAATATAACAAGCACTGAATTCTATAACAACCTGACAACTGCAAAGGTATTTAAAATAAAAGCGCTGTTTCATGAAGGTATCCAGAAATAACGAATATTGCATCACTTTCCCAAGAACTTTCCGTCCAGGATTGTATTCAACGGCAAACGCAAAGTAATTCTCTATATTGACAATCTATGAAAGGTAAATACAATCACTACTGGTAGCTTACACTAGATCAAGTTAACAATGAAACTGATTTGGCCATGGGAGCAGCAAAGCATATTTTCAGTAGAGAGTAGCATTTCCGCAAAAAAAGAAAGAACAAAAAAGCGTCTTCTACTTCTAATGAGGAGACATTTGACGATAAGGAGCTGGTATATCCTGGGCTGTAATAGGGCGTACGCCTGACCCAATGTTTGCACTGGTTTGTCCCGGGAGCCCACTGACTTGGCCAACTGGCTGCTGAAGGAAAAGAAACCAAGAAAGTTACTTCGCGATTTCATTTCTTCTTCAGTTTGTTTGCGTATTCGTTGTTAAATTTAAATGATTTAAAACTGTACATTAGTAAATAAAGGCTGTTGCAAAGCATATGGTAATAGTATTTGTAGTATGCAGTTAAAATACATCTTATAAATAAATAGCAAATGCCGACGTACAAAACAAAGATGCCAGATTCTAATGGATCTAGTCAGCAAAGTGTTTTTGTGAGCAAACGGTGAAAAAAGCAAGGCTGACTGTACAGCTACAAGTTTATATTTTCTTCCAATTTTTCGTCAGATACAAGCCAGATCGAAATTCTTCCAGATTGCCGCTGCCAGGCCAGTGTAATTGTGGCCACTGTCACTCATACGAAATTTTACGAAGATTTTAAACGACTGCAATATCTATGCCCCTCTCCCCTTATGTATGACGCAAAAAAAAAAAAAAAACCGCGTGTGTTTTATAGTATGATCACATTTCACAATGCCATTTATACCGTACCTGATAGTACATAGCGTACATTGGGATGGTGGGCTGTTGAGCCCCCTCGCGGCTTGAATCGCTGACTTTTGCCAAAGCAGCAGCCAGGATAATTTCAATGACAGACAACACAATGATGATGCCAAATACAGCAAATGCATCATTTTCCTGCTTAGTGTACTCCGGCTTCACATTTTTCTCTACAAACCACCATTTTTTGTTGCGGTAGCGGTTCTGTCTAATAGTATGAATCTTCAGTGATTCGACACCCCATGTCTGATACCTGAGTACTGTAATAGCGGCGTAGATAATACATGCCACGCTAACCGACCAAATAGCATGGATCTAAAGAAAAATTGAAATTGAAGTCAATAAATTATAAAGTCTACTGAAGAGGGTGACTCAGTAATCAGAAGGATGAGTTGCACTTTTGAATAGGCACATACTAGGAGCCCATAACATGAAGCGTGCAACTCTCATACTAGGCCTACGTCACGGCGTTTTCGTGGACCGGTTTATTTTTAGATTTACATAGAGCGGTTCCGCATTTGAAGAAGAAGGCGTGCATACGGAGAACTAAACGTCATTAAAAGGTCAAAATACCATCTTCAGTTCTGTATATTTTGACTGGTTTGTGGGACTTGGCAAAATATTTTAAATTCGCACCAAAATCATTCTAAAAATAAACTGGCCATGGTTAGGAAGAACGCCGTGACACGAGTACATGGGAGTTACTACTCCGGGTTATGGGATCCTGCGTATATTTTTTTTTTCTCTGGGGGACTCGAATACAATACACCTTTATTCCTGATAAAAAAAAATATTTGGGGAGGGGAGGGAGGGGAAGGGAGGTATTTAGCCTGTAGGGGACATGTTACACAGCCTCGTATTGACTTGTTTCGTCTTGTTTCGTCTTTTCGAAAGCGACGACCGCCGTTTTGCTCTGCTCTCTCCAGCATCTGCCACTTCAATAAGTTTCAAGGCGGCGCAAGTTCCAGTTTCTTCCGATAACACTGCTCTTCTTCTACGAAGCGATCAGCACTTTCGGAGGGACTTCACTTTCTAATCTGTCAGCGTGCCTCACTTTTGTTTTGTGGTGGTGGTGGTGGTGGAGGGGGTAGGGGATAGCCTCAGTCTCCAGCCATGGGAGGGGTGTCTCGATGCGCTCACGGTACTCCCAACCCGCCGAACCTGGAAGAGGGGGCGGTCGACGCTTACGGAAAGTCTTCTCTTTCGGAACTTTAGGTTACGTTTTCTCTGTCAGACGTCTACGAGTGCTTATCAAGATAATCTTACCAGAATTGATGATCTTTTACGGCTTTGGCTTAAAACAAGGCCCATGATGCCATTTGCAAGAGTCTGAACAGTAAATGCACAGAACAGAATTAAATTCATACTTACATACATTACTATTAATACTATAGTACCTCCCTTTGGGCACTGTCATGCGTTTCTTCCCTACGAGGAAAGGCGTGACCTTAAAGATCACTTAAAAAAAAAATCAAACGTTTGCATTGGAGATTTCATGTAGCACTTGTCGCACCATGACTAAAGATGTTTAATTAGGAGCTTGGACAACCCATGACCGACGACAACACAGTGACAACGTGAAGTTGAAACGTTATTACATTACTAAAATGAACTTGCCTTAACATTTCAACCTGTCTATTGCCTTTATTTAGCATCGCTCAATTTGTCGATATAAATTATAAAATGTAAACGAATTTTTCTGGACTTAAATTTAAAGAGCCACGTAGAGGTTTACAACGAGACTTTGATGCAATTCGTCGTCCTTGTCGTCACGACCTCTATGAAATAAAACGTCGCATTAGAAAGTTTCACGTTGTGGACGGTAACAAAAGAAAGGGGTTTTTTACTTGCAGTGCTGTAGTTTTGCTCTTTAAACAAACATTGTTTTTCTCGGGTTTTCATTGCCATCGTCATCTTCGAGGTTTGTATCCGGCATCATGGTTGCTTTTAGTATTTTATTAAGGATATGTGCGGAGTCGTTCGCGTTCTTAGCATTGGAGTAGTAGGCAAATGCGTAAACAAGCCAACAAGCGGAATGTCAGCAGTCGTGTAACAATTAAGGTGTAATAATTCACGCATGAACGAAATTGCTGAAATTGTGTGGAATAAGCGTCGGTCAAACTTCTGAGATGTTTCTCAGTGTTGTATTTAGTGGGAATTCGTTACATTTATGTGGAAACTCAAGTGACATGGCTGTATACGTATAAAATAACTAGTTAATGTAACCATCGTTGCATTTTCCCCAACATAAAAGACTTGGTGAAAGCGGAAAGTATAATATTGACAGATGGCACCGACAGTATCCATCAAGACAATGGCAGTCAGAAAAATTAAAGTGCACTTTCAGAATGATTTGTAATATGTAACAGCATATAATTTCCATATTTTGAACAGTGAATAACAACTTCTGAGCTTTCGCAAATTTCTGTCGTTTGACTTGATCACTGTGAAAGCGAGACGACCACTCATTATGAATTAACATACGCATCGAAACGAGCGTGAAGATCCCACGGCAAAAAGTTCAGGTTTTCTCTTCTCTTGTACCATAATAGGGGCAATAACACCTTTATCCATGACGAGATTCAAGTGATTGACAAATTTAAAAACAGACAAGAATCAGAAGCAATGACTTACCAGGGGAACAATCCAACATGGTGAAAACACGAAGCTATATATATAGCGGATTTCAAGTCCGTCTACCAATCCCAGAACGAAAAATAAGACGGATATCACAATTTGGAAAGAAGACAACAATGTCAGAGTTCTCTTGTTAGTATTTTCCATTGCAGTTGCAAATTAACAAAAGAGGAATCGAAGCCTGTTTAGAAAGCATAGTTTTCTTGCAGTACTGGACGTGCTTTAAAAAATATGTTTGACGTCATACACATAGGACACATAGCTTGACGTTTATGTCAAACGTTGTGTTTCCTCTTTACTTGCCCGTTTCCTGTTCATGATTTCTACACATAAATTAGTAGTTTCACACAATTTTATCCATAAGAATTGTTTTGAACCGTTTTTATCTGTTCATATTCTATTTTGAGAAATTCTCAACTTGAATTTGACGTTTGCCGTTTGCCGTATAAGTGAAGCTTAAACAATTACTTCATGCGTCAGCGTACGTAGGTCGGGAAATTGAGCACGCGGGAAGTTTGGAGAGCACGAAAGAGGCGTAAAAGTTGCTCAAGTCGCAAGTGATCAATATCACGACATACAGTAAAAACCCGTGACTAAGAACCTGGTTTTTAAGAACCTGTTAGGCTAAAATTTGCCACGTAGGCCCCCTCTATACAAGAACCTGTTTAGCCTAAAATTTAAAACGGCTTCTTAGTTTTAAAATTTTTTAAAAACCTTTTTTGTACACTTGGACAAATAGGACAAGTCAACATTCAACCCCAAAGGACGTCTGCGGGGAGGATACATTTAGGATCGATCCTCTTTGGAGACTTAAGAACTACTACTAGACAGTAATAGCTGACACTACAGCTGCCCCGTTGTCGTTGTATTCTTGGAGTCTGTCAGCGGTTAGCGAGCAAGATGGACGCGTTTTTGATTTAGCATATCATTTAGCATCGAAATCTCTTAATTTTGGCCTCAGTTTCCTTGTGGTATTTTCATTATTTCGTTGTTTTCGTAAAATTATGGCTGTGTACGTTACACGTGAAGAGTCATCTCCAAATATTGATTGGTGTACTTAATATGCAGCTAATTGAGTGCACAGCCCTCGTTTTGTCTTGCTTAGCCTTTCGAGCAAGCTCTCCTATGGCTCGCAGGGTATGTCTTGCTTCTTTGTTTATTCGTATGTGTATTTGTTTATTAATTACAGCTTAAAAATTTTTTCTTTGAGTGTTTTTTTGTGTGCATTTATTCATAACAACTTTGATATCTAATTACTTTTCCCCATTACCCAGCCACTCAGCCCGATTAGCTTTCGCTATTTCTAAGTGGCTGTACCCTCCTTCTTTCACAATTATTTCCTCTTATTAAATGACTCTACACTTTTGTATCAAGAGCACAATACTGTTGTTGTTTGATTGTTGTTGTTGTGTAGCTCTTTGAAATATACCGATTGATTAATGAAGATTTTCAGACTTATTCCGTACAATAGGTGAGATAAAAACGGGAAACGCAAGGTTCCATTCACTGTTTCTGTTCGATTTACACAGCTTTGATCAAAAAATTCTCAGTTTCGAGAATGGTTTATTCTAAAGCATAAGAAAAGAATTAATTAGAAGTTGGAATTTTTCGCTATTTCTCTTTCAGTTTTTGCATACAGTTCATTTTATTTGCCGGAAAGTAAGCCTTAGAAATTAAATGGTTTGATCAAGTCGCGCTCGCGCGTTCTACCAGTTCTAGTCTTTTTTAAAACTCAACAGAAGGACACCTGTGAGCAGGGAATAAGTCAGCATAGAATTTGATTGTCGGCGAATTTCTGTAATCGTCCATCGTTCTGCTAGTGATAAGCTAGCCTTTGATGTACTCGTCTTGCTTGTTTGGGACTGAATCTTATTCCCTCGAAGAGAGAAAGAGTGTCCGGCAAATTGTTTCCAATCAAAGATTTGTGAATTCGTGTATGGCAAGTGTTTATATATATACAGTTATACGCACCTTATAGCTTCATCTGCGCTTAACGAGTGTCTTTCGGTCCATAACTTTCAAAACAGCTGCTCCACAGAATGTCACTGATAACACGTAACGCAAAAGAGTATCGAAGTGATTAGACATGATTAGAATATAATTCAATTTACTGTTTACTCGTACAGAGCTTCCTAATGACAATAATTCAACCGAAAGTAAGCTATACATAATTGGACCGAATAATAAATACAAAACAAAGAAAGGTACACCAAAAAACTAAAGAAATAAACTAAAGAATATCAAAAAACACACGCATACCTGACGATGAAGATATATCCGAACAGTCAACGACGATACGTAAACTACAATAACGGTCACAAATGTTACACTAAACGGTGGAATAAGTGACCTGGAATTTGAATTAAGCCGACAAAACCGCCGGTCCTAAATCAGTGGAAACTCACACTTTTGCACGTTGCATACTAATACATCGGGGGTGGGGGTGGGGAGGGGGGGGGGGGTGGATATCACGACATACAGTAAAAACCCGTGACTAAGAACCTGGTTTTTAAGAACCTGTTAGGCTAAAATTTGCCACGTAGGCCCCCTCTATACAAGAACCTGTTTAGCCTTAAATTTAAAACGGCTTCTTAGTTTTAAAATTTTTAAAAACCTTTTTTGTACACTTGGACAAATAGGACAAGTCAACATTCAACCCCAAAGGACGTCTGCGGGGAGGCTACATTCAGGATCCCCTTTGGAGACTTAAGTGCCTTATCACCCCAACTGGAATGCATTGATATGCAGATTTTAGGCAAAGAATAAGCTGAACACCACTAAATACTCTTAGCTACAAGTCATTTTTCCTTTAGAAAATAAGAACCTATTTAAGAACCTCATAATAGCCTAGATTTGTCCTTATTACCATTTTGTAAGAACCTATTTAGACTAACTTGGCGAAAAGCAGGTTCTTAGTCGCGGGTTTTTACTGTACGCACAGCTGAAGGATGAACTAATTGTTTTATAACATGACCAAAGCGATCAATGCAGTAGCTATCTGATTTTTTTTTGTTTTAGCTCGCGCTCAAAGCAATACGCGTCAATGTCCACGTGACTATATTTTTTTACCTCACAGTTATGTTTTTGTCCTCAAACTGAGAGAAAGTTTACTCAAGTCGCTTAAGATAACATTAAATCAAAGAAAGACTATCGTCAACTCGTGGGTACGTTGTTTGTAGAAAATAATCATTAGTTATCACCTCTGGTTTTCCCACAGTGAATTTTAGGAAATGATAGAAATAAATAAATATACTATCCTTGTTCTGGAAACACAATACTTTTCTTGCTGTTTATTGCACTTTAGTAACAGTTATTTAATTATATATTTAAAAACAAAAAAACAAAAAAAAAACCCAGCAAATTAAATAAGCAAACGAGGCAAAACAAAAAAGAAAAAAAAAAGGAAGAAGGGAAAAAGAAGGTCCTCAGCAGAATTTGAACCCGGTACCTTCGGGTTGACCCGACCTCACATAGCCTCTACGCCATTGAGGATGGTCACAGTTTATTTCCCTTTCTATGGAACTTCCGCCGGCAAACGACCGGGGCAAACGATCGAGCCATACTTAACCGATTGAAAAAACGACTCGAAGCAGTCGGATGAAATTAAGGCTAATTGAAACCTGGCTACTGACAGTAAAAAACAATGTAAACGCATTTCATGGCAATGAAAGAACGTATGCGATACAAAGCCGACACAACTCCTCCGCGAAGTAGGACGCAAAACGTTAGCTTATGTTTTCTTATCTCGATTTCCGCTGTTATTTTAAAGGTAATGCTCAAACTAACAACCATTTCCCCCCCTGATCTTGGGGAGTCCTTAAGAAGAAGAAGAAGTGCCTTTATTTACCATACATTTCACCAGTCCGTATTTTATACCCAGTCCGTAGTCCGCAGTCCGTGTTTTATACTGACCGCCATAAATTCATTCATACACATAACCTACTACACTACTACAAGGTAGGAGATCAAGCCAGCGTCGAAGTTGAAAGAGTCGAAGAGCAAATGCTCATCTTCTCGTCAAGTTTAACGCCTGGACGGGTGAAAGGCTTTTGAATCGTACTAATTTGAAAGATTCCTGAGTGTCTTAAATTTGGTAAGACCTCTATCCTCACCGTGCTGTAGCGCACGATGCACGCTCTCAGCGAGGAATTTGATGCTACCGAACTTCGGCGAGTGCGTGCTTCTTTGGAAACGATAGATCTTTGCGCTCTAGAGTTCGGACCCGATTAATTACGAAGTGCGTCTACTACGAGTGAGTGAGTGACTCATTTGCATATCTCTGTCCCTGCAATAACTCGTGGTATGCTCGCGCGTACCCACGAGTTAAAAAGATTGTAAAATTCATATTGAGCTTCCGGAAAACTATTAATTCACCTATAAATTCTTTTTGAAAGAAATAACTTTGAAGAATTATGGAGATCGAGGAGGGTGTTAGCCTTCGAGGCCGTTGGCCGAGGCGGATAACACCCTTCGAGATCTCCATAATTCCTTGTATGGTTCGAAAGCCGAATTCAATAATTGTTTTTTTATTCATTCAAAATAGTTACTCGTTTAAAAACATGGCTAAAACATGCTTACCTCCATCGATCCATCGATGATAAGTTTATCTTCCAAACAGCTCCGCGAATATTCTGAATAGCAGATGTCGCCCTTAGAGTTGTTTTCTTGCTGTTCTTGCCATGTTTTTAGCTATTACTTCGCCTAGTTCTTACTCTTGAAACGAGTGAAATGTCCGCCATTTTTGTTTCCACAACCGAAACAACTCAACCATCTTGGATTGTATAAAGAATTAGAAATTAGGTAAAAACCGCAAGAATTGATAATGTTTTTGAGCTTCACATGTAAATTAATAAGTAAGTACTTTGCATCATTTTATCCACAAGCGTTACTTTTATTGCTGACTAAGTTGAAAAAAAACCATGCATTTTCACTCAAATATGGCTTGACAACCTACTACTAATGACGTCATATCTCGTAACCATAGTCACTGACTATCACTAAACTTGTCCCAAAATGCGCGCGAGGGATAAACGAACAGCTAGTGAAAACGTCAGGTGCTGATGTTTTCTCGTCTAGGAAAAAACTCAAAAAAAACTCCGAGGGGGTGGCAGTCACCACCCCAACCCCGTACGTCTCAGGGGTTAAAATA